GATAGATAGATAGATAGATAGATAGATAGATAGATAGATAGATAGATAGATAGATAGATAGATAGATAGATAGATAGATAGATAGATAGATAGATATAATATTAGATTTTTTTAAGATTTAATAAGCATTTTAAAACCAAATACATAAAATAATTAACAGAAAGAGTGATGGAAAACTGATCTATCTTCACATCTTAACAGTCTTTCTAACGAGAAGGGCTGCACATGATCAGTCTGCGATGATCCGATGGCTGTCATAAAGATGTCTGTGCCTTCTAATTAAATCCACAAGCTAATAAAACATAAGCTCTAAAAGACAAATGGCACCCTGAAAAGTGGGATACAAGGAAGGAAAAGCCTGAAACTTTCCCTTTGATGACTCAATAAATTAGCATAACAACCACCATGTACGTGTCCTAACAGCGGAAAATCCCCTATTTGCAAACAATAACTTGCCAAGCAACGATAAGGAACACGAGCTGAAAGAAAGAAGGCACATTTTAACCGGATCCGGAGCAATAAATAACTGCCCCACCACACCACACCACACACCCCCAACCCTGGGGCCTCACATTTACATTTTGAAGTACCCGAGGGTCCCACAGATCGTCCTCACATGGAGGGCGCTGGGTGCAATTGTTTCTGGAAGACGCACTGCTTCATTTGGGTATCTTTTTGAATGACATGTAAATTTTAAAGCGCCCCGGTGGTGTTCGAAGAGGTAGTACATATAAGCACAGACACCAACACTGATTACTTGTGCCCTTAGCGGACCACTGCAAGCTGAAATGCAGCCAGCTGAAGCCAAATTGCCGCTCATCCACAAAACATCGTTTTCCGTGGAAGATATTTTGGACCCAACGAAGTTTACAGGGGAAAAAATACGTAATGGAGACACAGAAGCTCCGGGTGAGAATAAAACTCTCTGAGGCCTGAGAATTTAACTTTAAATGTAATAATGTATTCACAAGTGAAATAATAATTTATCGTTCTCTTTCAGGAAGTCATACTTCCAGAAATAAATCCAGAAAGCTGCACAATCGCACCTCAAGTGAAAACAACAGCCCTATGGCCAGAGCTCTGTGTGCTACGCAGCTTCAGAGCTCGGAAGAAAAAAGCTGTCGGGTCCGTACCGCATTCACCCTGGAGCAACTGCAGGTTCTGGAGCAAAGCTTTCAGAAGTGCCACTACCTGTCGGTGCTGGAGCGACACACCATCGCCTCAGCCATGCGCTTGTCCGAGACTCAGGTAAAGATCTGGTTTCAAAACAGGCGCACAAAGTGGAAGAAAGAGCGTCTGCAGGCGAAGGAGGGCGAAGATGAAAAATACAGTCTGTCCTTCCATCCTGCGCTCTGCTCTTCTCTGTACTACAGTTCTCTTTTCCGCCAGCAGCACCCTCCGCTCCAGCTGTTTGCATCGCTGCCCCTGGTGCACATCTGTCATTATTACACATAAGGCGTAAAATACGCACGGAGTGACTGAATATTGGACCAGAATGTCGCCCACCGGCATCTTCAGAAAAAAATTACATTGCAAAAATATTGCAGTGTTATCAAATTGTTGTAAAAGTTATACAAATGAAATGTATTTAGAAATGAAAATGGGTTAAATGTTTAAAGTTCTCTAATGTAATTATAATTTATTCCGATAAACAAATTTGTAAAAGCTTATTTTTTTCAAATTACTTTTCATTTGTTACCCAGATAGTTTTTTCTTCTTCATTACACAGTGCTAGTAAAAGCGGTAGGTTTATATTTAGATTTGAATCAAAACAAACTATCAAAAAAAATTAATCCTGAATTGTTGAATTTTGTTTGAATTCATACTGTTGGATTCAAAACTGGCTAGCAGTTGCTTTTTAAAACAATTCTGTGCTACAATTTGGATGCATTGGGGGATTTTGAAGTAAGTACTAAGATTTATCATGTCCAGGGTGCAACTGTGCAGGGACATTTATGGAACGTTGAAAATCAGTTGGCACAAGACCCAGTAAGAACTATACTGTAACTTTAACAAGTGACAGCACTCTTCTCAGAAGAAAGAGATATGGGCCCATGTTTTCCAGCCATGTTATAGGTATGTTAACATGTTTTCTGGCTAGCTATCCAGCATTAAGCCACTGATTAATAAAAGTAAAAGAGACCTATTAGTTTACCCCTGAGCCTTCACTCTGAACTGCTGGACAATAACTTGCTTCTATCTAATTTCACTTTCACTCTGTGCCAGCTATTTAAGGTATACAAATAAAGAAGCACTATTTTTACTGTGCTCTACTGTTTATTGTGTCTTTTTTGTATTCTTATTTGTTCTTTGGTATTAATGTCTCATGTTACTCAATTATTTCAAACTAACAGTAAATTTACTATGCTACACATGGCAGATACTTCCAAAACATTTTTATTTCTCATGGACAGTTTAAAGAAACATTTTTTTACAGCTTAAACCACATTTCATAGAAAAACTTTATTTGCAAGTGTTTGCTATAGACTTACTAAGCGCTAATGTGCATGTAGATTTATTGTTTTTCGTCTTATCACACTCACTTCAAAATGACCTCAAATAGCTAAAACTTAAGAATACAATACATCTCTGACTTTATTGTCCTCATGATTTGTATATTCCAACTTTTTGTTGCTCCTTGTCTACATTGTAAAACCACTTACAAAAACATACACCTGTGCCTCCTCTGTCTCAGAAGCATTTTAGGAAATGAGAAATGTCCATGAAATTAAATGTCCAATAAGATGGAAGATATTTTTGGGGTCTCAAGAAAGAGAAAGGAGGCACAAAACTGAAAAATGAGAGAAGCCCAGCCTCTGACATTAGATAAATGGACAAACAACTTGTCTTGGAATCAATATGCTTTTACAGTAGTTTTCTATTTCCTGAGATTATGGGAGATCTGATATCTCTTATTACAATTGTAATAAGAACAATCACACCATATTGGCCAGTCTGTAGGCAAACTATTACATTATTAAAGATTCATACCAACACTGTATAACAAATCCCTGAACTCAATAGATAAAGAATAAAAACTAGCAGACATTAATTAGTCATTAGAAGTCAACATACTTTTGTCTGTGAAGGTTCTCAGTCATCCAGGTCAT